GGGGGGGGGGTTCTTGTATATACTGGCTATGGGCCTTTTTTGGAGGGGTTCAGCACGCAAGCCCCGGAGCGGTCATGGTATTTGGCTGTAACGATGTTATGACTTGGATGGCATTCGAGACGAAAAAAATAATGTCAGTGAATTTTCTGAATTTAATATGTTCTGCACAACTGTCTAAGAAAAACGTCATGTTGTGTAGTTGGTAGAACCTTGACTGGACTTCTTTTGCTAATGCTCAAAAATCTGTCTGGTGCTACGAGTAAAGAGCATGCACCTGGATGTTAACCTCAATTCTATTGACACATAATTGGAAGTTCACGCGTATACCATCCGTTTGTATCTATTTACTACCATCGGTATCTGGGTCTTCTCCTTCTTCTTACCCAGACTAGCAAAAATGATCCCGAGGCAAAAGAAGAGAACGAAGCAGAATACGAGGGCGATTTAAAGTGAAGGAGCTGCCCAAAATTAAAACAACGGAAAAAAAAAAAGCAACTGGGAGGATTGAGGACTGAACGCGATTTGAACGCGTGACCGTTCGGACTGCAGCCGAACGCTCTACCCCTGAGCTACCGGTCCAATTCCCAGTTACCAATGGAACGCTTGACCAATTCCTATATTGCTGCCGCGAAGTCATGCATGAAACGCCTGCCATTATTAGTCATCCACTGCTAGGCGAGGTGCAATAGATCGAGGTCAAAAGAGATAATGCGGACAAAATTGACAATTCTGTTAGGACTTTGGTGTTGACAATTTAAAAACCCATTTCTGCACAAACTAGTTAGTAGTCGCAATCATACCTATGTAATGGTGCGCAATAACGGCCTTCTTCAGAGCGGCGACACATTAGGTACGTACCACTTTATGTTGGAAGCGGAGTGCTTTCCATCTATTCACATCAGTTAGGCCGTATGGTCTCGACGGACATTAGCAGGTGTAATCGAAGACGCCAAAGATATCGAGAGCTGTTTAATTTTGACAACGATGAATGAAATTGTTTCGAGCGCCAACAACCATTTTTTAAGATGACCGTGCATGCCGCATGTCCTGAACTTCCTTCCCCCGAACTCCGACTTCCGATCAAGTCACCAAACTAAGCCCTCCTCCTTTTTCCCCATTTCTCCAAGGGCAGTAATAATATGTATATACATGAATGAAGTAGATCTGCTGAAAACCACAGTTTTGTAATGTCTTGTTAGCCTGTTTATCTTTCTTCCCCAGATGTTTTGCATGTCGTTCGATTTCAGCCCCCCCCCCCTCTCTTTTCTGAGCACCGGACACTCCTCGTTATCATTACCCCCACGACCTGCGTTAATAAACCAAACATAATCATTCCGTCTTAGTACTAGCCTGCAACCTCCTCATCGCGTCCCTATGCGCTCGATGCGCTCGATGCGCTCGTGCTACTTGTAACTGTGTCTGTCCGCTACTGCGTCTTTCCTGTGTCTCTACTGCTACCCCTGTTGATGTTGGATCCTGTTGCTGCTGCGGTTGTTGTCCATACCCGTAGGTGTTTCGTTGCGTTGATGTTCTCCGGCCTAGTCCCAAATGAATTTGTTCTTGTGTCTGTATTTGCGTGGTGACGCTGAATTGATGATCAACGGAATAAGGATCGTAGACGGTGGCTGGTGGTTGCAGTGGTGATATTGATGAGGTTATTCTTGCAGTGGTGATGTTATTGTTATTCGATGCATTGCGACTCAACGAGGCCCGCAAGTCAGCGGCGACACTGTCGCGGAAGTTGGCGAGTTTCGCTTGGCGGACGGCATCGGATGTCGAAGGACCCAAAGATAGGTTATTAACCTTCGGGCTTGATTTCGGGTTCGGATCTCGGGACCTATCTCGTGATCTTCTGTTCTTGGATTCAGATGTTAAACTACTTTCTCGGATGATTTTGCGGCGTTGAGATAGGGGGATATCGTCGATATCAATCGGAGGACTGTCACTGCCATCCTGCACCAAGTGCAGTTTCACGGCAGGAGCTCTGTCATGGAGGACCTCCACTGCCGGGGCGTTGAAAGGATGTCCCTGGGACTTGTTGCGTAGAACTGCCTTGCGTGTATCCATCAATGTTGATGGTGTCTGGTGTTGAGATGCTCGTGGGGTTTGAGCAAGACCACATGAGTCAACCGCAGAGGGAACCGCTGATACTCCCAGAGAAACAGAGCGTGATATTTGGCGCTCACTGCCCGGTAGCTGTCGCGAAGCACGTTGATGGCTTTGAGCACCTCCCTCCTCAGTGATTGTTTCAGTGTACAGTCTTGATGTTAGTCCTTTGAAGGATTCGGAAGCAGACCGGTAAGGAAAGGCCCTAGTTGTTGCCACGCGTCCCGGCTCTGGAGTAGAGTCTGAAGCATGATATGTGTCCTCCGGATATCTTTGCAACACAGGCCCGGAGCTGCTCCGATGTATAGCTCGTTGTCGAGCAAGGTAGTCTGTTACCAAGCTCGTTGTTCTGGGGACCGCTCGAGGTAAGCTAGCATTCGTTGCTGTCTGTTGGAGACCGCTGAGATCCACAGGTACTGGCTTTTCAGCTGGGAGATCCGAGTTTGTCTTCTTCGATCCGTCGATAGGTTGAGGCGCCACCGGCTCCTCAGGGGTATCTGCAGCATCCAAGTGCGTAGCCCATTCTTTTGTTCGGTGGTACAAAGCAATCGGTGAAAGTTCCTGTGCAAGATTTTCCTTAAGGAGGCTGCTGCCTGAGGGCTCATCCGACTTTGGCGACCCACTCGATCTCATCTCTGACCCTCCCATGAGCGCATGTACATCCACTGGACTCAGTTGAGGCTTTTCCTTCTCTCTCTGGAACTCATATGGCTCATCGAACATTAGGCCATATCCTCTGCTTGTTGATGGAATGTCTGATCCTTGTTGGACTTGTGAGTGATCTGGCTGATCACTGTGACCCTCAGACGATAGCTTGTCTGCCATTTCCTCAGTTGGTTTGACAGACGCTTCGGTCTGTTTGCTTGTGTCTTCAGTGCTTTGGGTCTCAATGCTAGAAACCTTACCCTTGTCCATCTGGTCGTCCTCAATGCTTTCACCATTGCTGACAGAACCCAAATCATCCAAGTTTACCGCGACAGAATCCGTGTCGTTTCGTATCCTCCAAATCGCCGCGACCCCTCCTTCACGCCTATCACCTGTCTGTTGATTTCTTTCAGCTTCGCGATGTACAGGTTTTGGTGACAGGTTTCGAAAAGCCTTAGCCGAGCCGTTCGAAAGTCTTCTGATCACCGTGGTAGACCGGTGCTGGTCGGTTTGTCCAAGCCAATTCCCCCCATCGTCCTCAACGGGGACATGTAGCCCACCAATGCCATCTTGTCTCTCTACCCGCTCGAGAGGCAGTGGCTCGGCGCTTGGATATGTATCTGATGGAGATTGGGGGCGTGGTGTGGAGGACGGCATAACCGATGACACCACTTTTCGCCCATCATTTACCCTGAAATCCGTATTCTCTTCGTCACTTGTCGGACTTCCAGTATCGGTACGGCACTCACTCGGGACCCTGTCATCTGAAGCTCCGTTAAGGTTGCGAGTTGGGAAGCAAGCCATTGCAGCCGCGGTAGCCTGCGCCGGGGATAAAGGGGTCATGGCTCTGGCTGCATACCCAAGATTGCTGATATTCGAGTCCATTCCTGTGGTTGACCGGGAGCGGGACGTTGTAGCTGCCGGTATGATGCGTTGACTGTGACGCAGCATTCCATTTTCGCTGTCCGTATGACCGAGATCCGAATCTTCCGCTGAAGACACCTGTCTGATTTCTCCATCTCCATACTTCCGTTCCCACTCTCGGAGGTCGCGAGCTCTCGCTTCTTCCAGCTGGCATGCCGTCTTTTCGTCTTCTGCTTCCAAATTTCTTTCTGCTTCCAGGTTTCTTTCGTGATCCACGGGTTTCGATTCTCCTCGATTCCTAACCAAACACCAGAGTTTGAGCTGCGAGACAATCCAGGCAACAAAGATTACCATGATAGCTGCTATTTCGGCGCAAATACCGCGGGTTAACGGGTACGTGACTGTGCCGAGGGGAAAGATGTCCCCGTTTAGGTCCCAGATGTATGCCCAAAATTCCTTTAAACCAGCACGTGAAAAGCAATCGATCCCCAGAACCGCAGCAGTAGCACCCGAAAAGGAGATGGCGGCAACGAGGCTGTAGGTGCGCGTCCATCGAGTAAAGTATAAACAAAACCAGGCCAAGGATAACAGAACAATGAACGCCACTTTACCGCCCTTGTGGTGAATTAGACCTCCGGGCCCAAGAGTAAGCAACCACATACTGAAGCAAAAGCCGGCGAGCAGGCAGGCTAGACCTTGGGCCAAGTCCTGGAATATGATGGCTACGCCGCCAACGATCAGGCCAGTACAGACCGCAGCCACGACATAGGCTCCTTGGACCGCGTCACTGACTGGCGGATCAGTCACGTAGAGGATCAAAACAGTGGTTCCTAAGCTGACGAGGAAGCCGGTGGTAAGGAATGTGTGGAGCCATTTTTTCTTGATGCCGACCATACCGCAGACGATACCTGTTAGGATGAGTATGGCGCCGGAAACTGCCCAGCCAGGAGTGATCCGTGGCTGGATGGGAAGTTGACCTTTGGGTATTGTAACTGAAAGTCGGTAAGCTACTGCCTCGTCTGACATCTAGGACACCTACTTAATCATGTACATACCTTCAAAGACGGAAGAACCATTGGTAGTCCCGGTAGCGGTAGAGACAGTAGGGTTCGTCGTTGTAGGTACAGAGGTAGATACAGTAACGCGTATAGAACCCTTGGATGAACTTTGAACCACTGATGTTGATGCTGGCGTGCGTATGGTGTTTTCGATGGTATTGGTAGGGACCTGAGTTGGGGAGACTGTAGTTGATATCTCTGACTGTTGTCTTCTCTCTGGTCTGCTCAACCATCCTGATGTGAGAGTGAAGAAGAGGTAGAGGCACAGCAAGTGCCTCATATTAACCGAGATGGAAATCCTCATTTCGCTGCCTCCGTCGACGGCACTGCACCGAGACGGCTCGAGTCTTTGACAAGTGAGTAGTAATGTAGCCTGCGGACACCCATAGGTAGTAGTCTATCCCATCCGACCCAATGGCATGACTGATTTATCAGTGGATGAAAGCCAAGCGAAGCAACAATGGGCAAGAACAAGACCAGATATAGTACTGTGGAAGAAACACCAGAACCGGATAACCGCAAGCAGATGGAGGATACTGGCCTGGGAGATATCGGAGGGGGTTGCACAGGGCCGATCAAACGATTAAAATCTGGATCGAGATCATAGTGAAGGCAGAGGTATACCGGTTTTAGATAACATGTAATGACATGGGTACAGTCAGGAACACGACTTTTTTCTCTCCCCCGTCCTGTGAGGCTCTTTGAAGGAGAGTACTGGTGAGGCAGGTATAAGAAGAGCTATATATCCTGGAGAAGAGGCACAACGTCGAGGCCGACCTTTTCGGTGGCGTCTCCATGTCGGGCCTTCACCATCAGACAGAGGCAATGGGTAGGCCACGAATGGAAGCAAAACGTGACGGTGGCTTGTCGTCTCATAGGTATTGGAAGCTCTATTGTCTCCGGGAGAGCGGGCCAGCTAGGTAGAGGTTGGGTAGGAAGGGAGGGGAGGGGACGTATGGTGACATGGCGTTGAGGATGTCCAGGATCTACCCTGGTGGGTGCTGTGCCTTTTCTGGGATCCATGCTGCCATGTCTTCCAGGACAGGAAAAAGGGTGGATGGAAATCGAGGCATCAAGATCCAATTCCTGCTTGCCAAGAGTACGGAATTCCTGCTCTAGGAAGCGCCGCAGCGCCGCAGGGCATGGTGTCCGGGTGTCTCTCTCTCGCTTCTCCGCCGTGGGGTGGATGCCAGTGTCCAGTGAGGCCAGTCAAGCGTCCCGACTACCGAAACAGACTGCCAGCTAAAAGCCGGCCGACTAATCTTGGAGGAGGGCTGCGTATCCATTCTGCAGCATCTCTCAAGGTGCATAACACCCGACACTGCATATTGGAAACTGCTGCAGCTGAGGTTGGTTTCGACGGCATGCCGGGGACATATCGATGCACTGCAACTGAATGTTCGAGCCCGTCCAGCCTTCCTGCAGATTGCCAGTTTCACATCCGCCGACCGTGTGGTCCGAGCCTTCTGTGACGATCTCCTTTCCCGTTGTTCGTTTGTTCATGATGCTTCGACGAACGCACTTTCCATTGTCCAAATCTCAGGAGGCTGGGACATCATAGTACAGGTAAGAAAGTCGGCGCCGACGTGGTGGTGGATAGTCCCGACTGCGAAGGAAGATGCAGCCGCAGCCTTCTGGACCTGCTTTTGCTTCTGCCTCCGTCCCCACTGCAATGTACCTTTCTAGGTTCCTTGGATGCGTGCTCGAAACCTGATGTGGGAACATCAATGCATCTTGGCTTCGGAGATCCATTGGTTACCATGGTGCCAGCAAGCAACCCCAAGAAAGGCTGGAACTGTTGTTTGGAGACGGGATGGGGGACATTGGCGACACGGCGAGAACGCGAACGGACCCCCCCTCCGGCCGTGACGACTCCGGCCACTTATCCCTCCATTCTCCCTCCAACCCCCAGAATGAAAATCTATCGGGCGGGAGAGGGAAAACAGGTAAACGGTAAGCTCCCCGATTACATACATAGCGGCTCTTCGCACTAGTAATGCCACCATGTCGGCTTGCTTTTGGGTGATGTCACACATTTCATCGTTGACCCAGATAAGGTTTTAGCTCTTAGCTTCAAGGTTGCACTTGTGTTTGGGCTGGAGCTACAATCCTTGATGGATCCACCATTTAAGCCAGAGGCCTTTTACATACACAGTACCACCCTGTTAGGGCAGCCTAACTGGGTCGGCTCGTCGTGGGGGGAGGGGGGCCTAGGTCATCCCAATGATGGAGGCTCGGGGCGGGCCTTTTCAGCCTCGCCCCATCTTTCGTCTTCATCCCGTCCCGATCAACTTCAAACGATAGGTCATCCGATGTATTTCTTGCTCTTTCTCTCATCACCACCAGTCAACATACCTCAATCACCAAACCTCCCTTCTTCATGAGCACCCGCCTCCCAGGCACCTCCCATTTCCAAATTTAAGAACAGCTTTCAATCAAGAAAAAAAAAAAAAAAAAAAAAAAAAAGCGAAAAGGCTGGACGCATCATCACGCATACAGGCACTTCATGTCTCAAACAGAACTCAGCGCCTCTCTACACTCTCTTGATCTTACCACTCCCGCTTACTTTCTTCACCTTCAGGACAGCTTCAATATATTATCTCCCATCTTAGCTTATCGATCCCTCGTGCCTTAGTCTCAAGCCCTCCCCCCTCACTTCGATTTCAATGTATCCCAACCTCCCTTCGGCAACATCTACCGATCTTGATACCCCGCAACCCGGTAATATGTCTGCAACCACCCGTTTGGCGTAACTTTGATCTTGGATCAGCTGCTGAAATCACCGACCCCGACAGCTCGGTATGGATTGTGGGTTGGATGGATGACTCGAAGCCACATAGATAGGGCGGGTCGATGGTGCTAACTAACCTACCACGTATGTACTGCCGGACTGCCGTCCACGTTCTAAGACACTGAGGACGGTTTCTTGAAGCTCACCTTCCTCATCGGTCATGGTATGCTTAAGCATGGACTGGTTATTCCGGTTCACGACGGTGAGGCGATTCGTATCCCGAAGCCGTCAGTCAAGGTACATATCATGGAATGGCGTGGCCGCGGGAAGAGTTGTCGGCGCAAGGCAAGAGAGCCAGGGTACCGCAACAAGATAAGATAGTAAGAAATGTCAAAGGTATCGTCTATTTTGTAGTGATAATGTAGCTTTTTGAGGTTTCGTTGTGTTGGTATCTCGCCCAATGCTCTACGCTTTCTGGCGCCTCACCAAACAGGCTATGACAACTATGACAAATGAAAACACAAGAATATATACTTTATAACAACAGGAAAAGCGTAGGTAGCGCCCATGCCAAAAGAGCCATGGTTATTGAACCAGCCGCCCGACATGGTTGTTTCTCATCCCTTCATTACAGTCAGTCTTCACTCATCTCCTTGAATACCGCGCCCCGCTCCCACTCCCCGATGTCATTCGCCTACCACTCGCTGAAAAGCCATATTCAGCGGCCCCGCCGACGTATGGAGGGAATCCGTTCGAATTCCCAGGTCCAGTCGCAAATCCATTCCCATTGATCCCTTTCCTCGCGTCACCCATAATACCGGTGCCACTAACCTTACCAGCGGCAACCCGGCTTCTACTACTGCTTCCTCCAGTTACCCCCTTCAGAAAGCCTGCCACCGCCCTCAGCGGGAACAAAACAACAAGACCCAACAATGCCTGGAACGGCATGGCCGCCGCCCAGACAATCGTATCCAGCGCCTTTGCAAGCAGGCCGAACACACTCAACCCGCTATTGGCGCCCGTAGCACCAGTTGCGCGGCTGTTGTTCCCGTGCGGTCTGGCACCAGTGCCTCCAGCCTTGGCCGCCGCGGCTGCCAGCGCAATAGCATCGTTTAGTCTGCCATCCAGCGCGCCCAACCTTGCCTCTGTCTGGTAAGCCAGAACAGTAGCCTTTTTCTCATAGCGTCTGACTGCACGGTTGAGCGCGTCCAGATCGGGCTGAATCGTATTGCGGACTTCACGCACCATCCCATCGCGGACTTTGGGGTTCATGTTCTGCTGGTCCTGGCCTCCTTCCAAGCCATCGTTTTGTCCGTTGTTGTCAAGGTTGTTTGCCGACCCATTCGATGGCTTTAAGCCCGTAGCACGTTGTTCCAGCTCGCCCAGCCGCTCCAGAATATCCTGCAACTTGGTCGGAGTTATGGCCGACTCGGAATATGGGTTTTTGTGGACGATGCGCTGGAGATGTAGCGTGCGCGCTTGAATGAGCTTGATGAGGTGCGAAAAAGGCCGGACTTCGGCTGCAAAAATGTAAAGCGTTAGGGAAAAGTCAGAGACGAGCCCGCCCTCTGACTTGAACTGGTTGCGCATGATCTGCAGTAAATAGGCCATCATCAACGGAGAGACAAAACAAAGTACCAGAGCGAGCGATTCGATTTTGTAAAGCTCGCCAAGGGCTTTGTGAACGCGGCGGGTGTGGCGAGGGCTGTGGGGTTCCTGTTGAGGGACGATAGGTATGTCAGGACTATCTAGTTTAGTGTTTTCCTCGCTCGTAGATGTAGTGTGCTTGCTTTCAATCGGTGTACGTGGTTCTTCGACCTCCACGGATGGTGTTTGGATAGCTGTTACTGTGGGTGACGTTCCATCTTCTTCGTCGAGGGCTGATTCGACGATTTGCTCGTTTTCTAAGCGCACCTGCTGGGCCGACTTGTACATGTTCCTGTGCTACCGTGTAAGTTGAAAGAGCAGACCATCATATGAGACACCAAAACGTACCACGGAACTGTGAGAGACCAATGGAGAAAGATAGCGGCGAGAACAATTAGGATGATATCAGTAATGAAGTCGCTCCCCTTGTTGTGGAACATGCCTGCAACGGCTGGCAGCAGCGCAAATGCCAAAGGCATCAAGGAGGATTCTGAAGCTCCATGCTCATCGGAATCGAAGCTGGCCGCCGGGTTCAAAATCTCATGATGAAGATTCCTTCTTGCGGCATCTAGACTGTAGTCCGAGAAGGTTGAGCTGCGTCGCCTGAACTCTCCAAACGAGGTCCCTAAGGTGGATTGAGAATTCACGAGGCGGCGGCGAAGTTGGGCTGGCTGGGACCCTTCGCCGATGGTTGCGGCCCGGCGGACCGGACGACTATCGAGAGTGGACGGCGACATGGCGGGAGTGTCCTCGGTCTCTATAGAAGTTACTGTGGCCATGTTTGGAGCTTTGGCCTTGAGGTGAATCGGATGTGGTTTTGGTGGCGCTTCTGTCATGGAGTCCAGGCGTTGTTGCGTCTGTCATTGACTCCTCGGGCAGAAACAGCGAAGCGAATGCGTCGTGGCTGTACTTTAGCACCTTTGAGCGAGAGCGCAATGCACCGTATATGTGCAGCTGAGTGGTGTTTTGATTTTCGCCGCGACCAGAGCCCAGGGATTGCCCGCAGATTTTGACAATAACAGGAGACGTGTTTGACAGATGGTGAGTGACTATCCTAGGGCAAGAGAAGGGTGCCGGGTGTTGTTAAGTTGTATGGATGGTGCGGCCCTCACAACGAAGGGAAGCGATGTTGCAAAGCAAGGACGGGTGAGTAAGTAGGTGCAAGGCGGGACACTGTGACGTAGTCTGCAACTAAACCAATTGGAGTTGCGGGGAAGATGGGTTCGTCCCGTCGCTGTCGGATGCCAGATGACTGCACGTCCGTCATTCATTCAGCTTCTTTTGGAGCCCACAGCGAGCTGCCATCCAGGCAATCGATCCCGCAATCCGCACAGTAGCGTGAATGGTGGCGACGGACTTGATGTTAAGTTGCTGCAACGCGTACTTAACTGAAAGAAACGCACGGCCTGGAAGAGATCTCCGGAGGGTTTGGGAAGCCGAGAGACAGAGACTTGCTACCAAGTGGAGAAGAAGAGGAAGTGGTAGGTTTATAAGTCATGGCCCTAGCCGCCCTGGGCTTGGCTCGTTCGAGCTTTGGATTGCGTGCAGCTCCCCTCCACGTTGGTGTTTCACTGCATTGTGCCATTGGCAGTGGCACCTTCAGAGGTGGTGGCATTGGGTATCAAGAATGAAACCTCGATGTGCTAACAGTCATGCTCATCGACTCACCTACACATGGCTGTTAGCGACGACGAGCAACTTTCTGACATCTGATTCTCAACCCCGCTTGGGTCTCCAGATAAGGTAGTAGGTTCCCGGCCTCGCTTGCGGAAGAGCTCGGAATATTTGCTGCAAATAGCCATAATGATTGGTTTCATTGGCTAGGTAAAATGAGGCCCTGCATCAGCGTCGGCTGGGAATTTTGTCTTTTTTTTTTTTTTTTTTTTTTTTTTAAAAAAAAAAAATCCTCTGGACGCAAATGGCACATTCAAAGGTCTCGGACGGAAAAGGCCGCATCGGAACTCCTTTCATCCACCATGGTAAAATGAATTAGTCGACATTGAAGAGATGCTCCTCTCCTGTGGAGTATTTGTGGTGAGAGGCACACAGCCGTTGAGCATTTGGGGTTGAAGTGAAAACCAAATAAAGCACAATCCAGTCGATGTCCCTCTTGCAATGGACTTTTTGCACGTGGGCTTTTGGCCCTAATGCAGGACGGACATGCGCGCCCATGTGGAAGCTCCGCTTGCTTGCTTGCCGACAGGAGAACATGAAAGGCTGTAAGGAATAGGTGTAGATATGGAGAATCGATGCCTCTCTTGGGGAAACATCCATGTGAAGAACGAGCCCACGGCAACAAGAGGTTGTAATTAACCCTGCTAGCCAGGTCAAAGGTTGCTCAAGCATAGTACGCTTTGGTACACTACAACACACCGCCGGTATATGTACCTGCAGATAAAATTGCGTGAACGCTTGCTTGAATTGTGTACCTTCTTTGCGCTATAGCCTTTCCCATGTGTTGGTCAAACGCATAACCCTTAGGTGTTCATGCTTGGACTTGCAGCGTCCGAGCACCACACCGAATCGGGATCGATTATGAGTTCATCCGGTATTCAGTGTCATGCATCTGTAACGGCCATCGGAGATCGAATCCGTACAATCCAGCCCTGATTTGATAGAGAGTCTGGTACCAACGAGCCAAAGCTTTACTGGATCCACTTCGATTGGGTGAAGGCCGTGAGGCTGATATCATCCAGTCTTTACACTACAAAGGCCTTCAAGGATATGGAGAGAGGCTAAGAGGACATCCGTAAGAGGCTTCTGTAGCGTTCTGGACCCTTGTTGATGTTGTTGTCCCATATCGTTACGAAAGGAGGACGGTTCCTCTTTTGAAAGGGTAATGGAAGCCCCAAAACTCCCCTGTTCAACCCATGGTCGAAGAACCAAACTAACAAGCAAACTATTATCGCATTGTAATGCCATCAGGACGTCGCACGGCATGGCGCATTACAATGTGTAGACATGCTATGTTCGGGCATACCGAAGTAGTGGGAAAATGACATTCAGACAAATTCCACCAGCTGGTCATGGGCGTCGCACAAGAGCTGGCTGAGGCTTTTCAACGGTCATGTTGGGTAACATTCTCGGTATGAAGGTGGTTGATACCCCTGACCAGTGAGCTTGCCAGGAACGCGGAGATTCTGGAAATGCTGAGAGATCATCTACCGCCTACGGCCGAAGGAGTAAGGGCCAAGCTTTGCTTGATGGTTACCATTGAAAAGGGGTGGCAGAATAAAAACTTCAAATACTTGGAACATCAGCTTTCTCCTCAGCGCCCACGAAGGACCAATCTGACCACCCAACCATACCTCGATCAAGCAGCTTTCTATTTGGCGTTCGCTACGGCATGCGTTGATGTTGTACAGATTGCAAATGAAGAATCAGAATTGTCGATAATCGCCTCAAACCCCGTTTCGATTTTCAACCACATCCGCCGAGTGATTCAAGTCGCTTTGCTAGGTACATCCAGGGCAGGTTCGTCGAAGACCCAAGCAAGACGGTGGTGGTATTTGATTGTCGGTTGCCGCCAGCTGACAAGACCTGGGTCGGCTGGGCTGCTTGCTTGATGAGCGGCCCTGGGTCAAGGTGGAATCAACCGCCTCCACACCCACTCGTGCAGTCGAGAGAAAGGAGCCAGTCAGAGCACCCCAAGCGCCGCGCCCTGCATATCGCTGGAAACTCGCAATTATTGTCAACCGACAAACTGGCAATTGTCCGACATTGTCCTTGCCGCCCTGCGCTGTCCTCGGGGCTACGGGAAAGAGAGAAAGTGTCAAGTTTGTGGCTATACAGGTTGCCTTCCACGCCGATCGTCCAGTGTCAATTCTGCCGCGACTGCTGCCGCCGTTGTTGGCGTCAGATTAATCGAGATAAGGGGAGCAAGCCAACAACTCGATCGCGAGCCAGGAGGAACCGGTGGACCTCAACGAAGACGGCTGACCTGTCGACGACGACGGGGCTTGAGCAGTCCAGCTGTCTGCGTACAGGGTTGATCGTGGTCAAGCTTGAGGTTTCGACCTGGGTCGGTGCCGGAGCTTTTACACTTCAGGACTCGGGCGGCTTGACAAGGAAGCAACAAATCACAAGTCGGGATCCCCTGAGTGCGAAGAGCTGCAGACGACCAACACGGACCCGGCCACCAAGCGCAAGACGGAATTTCCACGTTGTCGAGGGGGCCGTTTCTGCGGCCGCCACTGATTGCTCGCTCCAACGGCTTCACCAACGGCACCACCAGCCCACCTCTACTCGTTGCCTGAAGCAGCCGCCGTAGATTCGACCGCCATCGAACCGCCATCTACAACATACCATTCATCGCCGCATGCTCCAGACCCCTTAACCGCCAATAATCCTCAACTGCCGTCTCCGTCGCTACAACCCAACTATCCGGGCGCACACACCTCGACTCCTTCCCCTCCACCCCCCGCAGCGCTTTCTCCCGCGCTCGCGCCCGGCTTTGGCCGCTCGCCGCGCAGGGCACCCGATAATACTCCAGTGTTGCTCTTGCAATCACCCTTTCGAACCCGCGGCGCAGTTGCGACATCCAGCTCTCCCCTCCACCGCCAGTACGCCCAGTTCCATTCTCCTCATCGCCAATCCCCTGCTCGTCTTTGGAATCCGACCAATTCCACCCCGAGGCTTCCACCTGCTCCTGCTGCAGCAACTCGGAGGAGACGCCAGTCATCGCCTCCGCCGCCGGCGATCCCTCTCTCGCTGCCCTCGCCCCACCTCGATTTCGATCCGTCATATCCAACAGCTACCGCCGCCGGCGATCAGCCATTGTTAACCGTACCCGAGAACCAACAACAGCCACGGCATTCAGTCATCAGTGCTCGAGCCAGTCTGCAACTTGAGCGTAGTACAGGCAGTGGGCAGCGTTCCCCTCTGCCGCGCACACTTCGACATTCCCTCGAAGGGAAACGAGCTAGCATACCACCTTCGCCCATTGAACGAGTGGAGGAGACAGACGCAGGACCCTCTCGCATCCGCGCTATTGAAGAAATCCCGGAATCGAGCGCGTCTGGACGAGGGACTCGGGGTCAAAGTATATCAAGCACCAAGAGTCGGGTGCCGGTTGGGCTGAGCTTCGATCACGGGAAGAAAGGTTTGGACAAAGGGAAAGAGAAAGAAGACATGGCTCCAACGGAAACCAAGCAGGAGGAGAGAGATGGGGCCGGATTTTCTCCCGACTTGGAACGAGGACCGGATATGATGGACGCCCGGCAGTCAATAGGATCACGGATATCCGGCATTGGTTCTGCCATTTCATCAGATGACTCTGATATTTTGGGGGATCCTGACCAGCAACCAGACGCTGGCGACGAATGGGGACCTCAGCATGCTTGCTACCCGCACCTCAACCCGCACGTCCCCCTGGATTCTCCTGAATACATCAATACGCGAATTATCCGAGTCCGTCGGGATTGGCTACTGGAGGGTGATCTGGCTCCTACGTTCTCAAACCTGTACCCCGAAATCCTCGAGCCGGCAGGGTTATCAGAGCAAGAGTTCCGGCGTGTGATCCAAAAGCTGAACTCCGAGCTTGTGCCGATATTTAGTCCATACAACTGGCGCAACATTTTGGACGGCATTCTGGGTCTTGCAACAGGCTGGCTATGGGAAGACTTTGGGTTTACCGGTGTAAAGGCACGGTTGCAAAGGCTCGAAAATTGGATTGAACAGTGGAACAAAGAGATGGAGAAGACGGTGGGTAGTGAAGATGGCACGATCCCCCCCAAGATCGTGCCACTGAAGAGGACCGGTTACATGACAGTACGTCTTTTCCTAAACCGTATTCTTTACCTGCGGTGACCGTATGCTAACTTGAGGACGGTAGCTGGATATTCAAATACCGGATCCCGAGATTGCCCCTGCACCACCTACACCGGGTGCCTCTCGCGGGACTGACGGGGCCATACAAGTTGAGCCTGTCGAACCTCCGCAACAACCACCAGCTGTAACTGTCTTATGAGTGACTTCCGCCTGGATCTGGCGATGAAGCTCTCCCCGCCTAGTGATCATACCTTCGCATGCCTCCTTTCTGCTTATTCTTCTGCACGGAGCTATCTCAAGCTCCTCGCTGATTGCGCGCGGGGCATGTTGGAGGAGTGTCGATGTGACTGATGGCTCTTGTCGAGTACATCCATACGCCCCACAATGATGCATTGCTGGAAGTTGCCTCTTTTTTCTTCTTCTTTCAACCCCTTTTCGCACACACACTTTTGATACCATTATACCACCCTGTTCATTAGCATCGGCGTTGTTTGGATATTCTGGAAACCTGTTTTGTCAGTCAGCCCTTAGCGAAGCGGCTTGCGCATCAAAGGGAGCTGTTACCACAGAACAATACAATTATGGGCGAGAGAGGACGCTTTTTATGGATAACTTAATAAGGAAAACAAATGAAGGGAGATCCGGGAGCTCTCAGCTTGAACAAAGTATCTGGAGTTTGCCATGAAGCTACCATGCAATCAAAGTCGCTTGGTCGACGACCGCTTGACAAGTAGAGTAGTAGTATTCTCATCGCAGATTTTTTCAAACAAGGAAGCGTCTCCATTTGCCCTATATACCCTTGAGTACCTAAGCCAGTGAGTTATGTCGCAACCAAGGTTTGACTGGACCGCTGCATCCGTCCAAAGCATTCGCTTTTGAGACAATAGCAACTTTCAATCACGACACTGGCATTGATATGTTTGTTGACGGCTGTGCAGTTACATGGTAATATAGGTTTCTCACGGCTCAAAAAATCTCAACAGTTGGAAAAGCTGCATGGCGCAGCGGAAGCGCGCCGGGCTCATAACCCGGAGGTCACTCGATCGAAACGAGTTGCAGCTAAAATGACCTTACTTTTTTTCTTTTCTTTTTTGGACTTCCTTTTTCTGGCTTTCTTTCTTTCTTTTTTATTTTTATTTGTCTATTCACCCTATTCTGCGTTACGCCTTTCCAGTAGTAGTAGTTCGTGTCCTGTTCTTGTTCCCTTTTAACTTTTCCCTCTAGAACATCTTGCAAACAGCTTTATCACTCCCAGCTCCAGGAGCTCTCTTGTTAGTTGCACTCTTCTTTTGTCCCTAGTTGCATGTATCTTACTTGTCTTTGGAATCAGTTCCACGATCAACCTTCTTCTCTTTGCTTGAATTGGATCCCAAGCGGATAGGAATGTACGAACCAAACAATGATGTCTCGGGCTTGTGCTGTACGTATGTAGCCATGACCTTGCTGTTTGCACGCAGCGAGTAAATGCTGAACCAATTACGGATTACAAATGGTACAAAATAAGGTGTGGCTGCCACGTGGGAGAGGGGATGGATCAGCTTGTCGGTGCGACCCATGGTCTCGGTAAAGTCCATCCAATCCTGCCTGATTAAGCAAGGCAGAGAATTTCGAGTGAGCAAGTGTAAATTCGCTAGGTCCGGTTGCCTAGACTAGACCAGTAATACACAGATGTAGGTATGCTATTTCATCTCGTGCAAGACCATTGATGCTGACTCTCACGCCTGCATACACCAAAAAAATATATAGCCTTAACGGAATGCCTTTACGACATGCTTTTTAAAATTCCGACCATGATCATACCCTGTAATCGACATTTTTTTCTTCTTTTTCTTGCCACATCTATGCCAGCAGAGTCAAAGATCTATAATGCCTTCTGTTCCATGGCCACCGTTCAGATCCATATTACGTGATGCTAGACGGCCCTTAGCCCCTCGACAAGCTCAACAACCCACTGGCAGCCTCATCTCCATCCCCGTTCCGTTCTCCATCTTGCTCTTCCTTTTCACCGGCATCCAACTGGCACGGCGTCAGGCTGGGTAGCTCAGGTTCAAGCTCAGGTTCAGTGAAGTAACTCGGGCCGGGGCCCACCACCTGGTAACTCCTGGATCTGGATTGTATGCTCTCCTCCTCTTCGTCATCATTCCGGTCTCTCCTCCCTGGTCCTGAAGCAATATCATTGGCAACCTCTGGACCGTTCTCTGGAGCAGGGCGTACTACCCACCCTTCGTGGGCGTTATCCAGGTGATGTCGATGGCGCTGCTGCTGTTGGGGTTGGTGGTGGTGTGTAAGTTGTTGAGAGTTTGGCTCCGAGTCAATCTCATCATGCTCATGCTCATGCTCATGCTCATGGTCCATCAATAGCTCTTCTGTGACCGCCCTCGACTGAAGCCGTTGATGAGCCTGCAACGCGCGCTCCGCAAGGTCCAGGCGGTTAAAATGAGGGGACGTCGTCGTAGTCGTCGTCATGGCCGCGGTCGTGATAACACTAGTGCCTGAACCCATAAACGTAGTACCAGGCCCACTTACTCGATCCCCCAGATCGGATGGCAGTGATTTACTCCCGCTTCCAAGATTGCGCTGCTGCTGCTGACGCCGCTGTCGCTGTCGGCTTTGATCCCTAGAAAATCCATCATGATCCTGCTCAGCGGCGGCATTCTCCCAAGTGGAAATTTGATAATGATGACCATACTGTTCATACCATTCCCTGTACTGTTCCCTCTCCCGCCAAGCCGTTCGACGCTCCTGTTTCGCTTGGACAGCTTCGATAGCTGCTCCGGCGGCGTGTCGGAGGTGGTTCACGCGCTGGAAGTAACCGTGGCCTTGGCTATTGCTGTTGCTGTTGGTACTACTATTGCTGATGAAGCTCCAGTTCGCTGGGTTGCTGTTGCTGCCATCATGATGTCTGTCTACTGCTGCTTCTGGTGAGGCACCACCATCCGCCAGCCGTCCCTGGCTGTGGTGGTATCCCCCCAGCGGTAGCAGTGAACGCATCTCCAGTTGCTCAAGCGGGACGTCAGTCTGGCCCGTCTGAATCTTGTAAGCGGCCAGGCTAAGGCGGAGACGGAGGATTTCCGCTTTCTGTTTTACGTTTTGGACAATCATCAAGTGTCAGTCAGCGCATCCACATGTCTATGGGGAGTGAGATCGGGCGTACCTGTCTGGCCGCCTGATTCACGAAACGAAGACGGGGGTTATTTGTCCTTTTTGGTTGCCTGTGATTGTTAAAGTTGCCCACAAGACCGGCTGGGTAAGCGATTTGGGTCGCCATGGGAACGGACAGGACCTCCGCAACCGCCCGGGCCGTTCCTTCGGCTGCCACGCGGGTTGGATGCAGAGCTGGTAGCACCGATAGAGACGAAACTCTCTCGTGTCTCATGTCGGTGGACTGTGAAAGGTCGGTAGTAGTCGACCTGCCCAACAAGACAGTAGCCTCGGTAGGAGGAGAGGCTGATTTCGACCGATTTCTCCTGCCATGACTACCAGCTCCTATCTGCTGGTGCTGGTGCTGTTGTGCTCCCCGAAGATCGAGGCACACCTTCTTCCTAGCCGGCTCCTCTTCACGACGATTGTTCTCACACCCTGCAGGAAGAACAGTTGATTCAGTTGCTTGCACTTCTTCCATGCGCCCTTCGAACTCAGACTTGGAGCTCTGGCAGGGTGACGCGTTGGGATTCAATGACCCGAGGATACGCCGTTTGGTCGGCGAGATGGTGGTCATAACTACCCGCTAGTGAAAAAGTATTATTGATGCTCCCTCCTGCTTGTGTCTGATCAGCCACTTTCAGGTGCTGATGTGAAGTGTTGCCTGCAAAACCCGGGCATGGAAGGGGAGGCGCGTCGAAGGTTATGTAGAGCAAGACGCGATGCCGTGGTTTTGGTTTCCAAATCAAACCAGAGTACAAAATTGTCAAGTTCAGCGCAAGTGTACTACTGGCTCCAATTGTGATACCTGAGTCGGTGTGCACTAACAGTGCAGTGGCAATTACAATGATCAGTTTGGACGGTACAGTACCTATCCCAGCCGTGCGAATGTCCATCAAAGGCGACTTTCTCAGACAGGTAACTATGTTGCCAAAGCTATACTATGTGTAAAAATGAAATGAGATTGACTACTAGTAAGAACAGAGAAGATTAGAAAATATTTGTGGGAAAATCCCAGGTGATGGATGCATGCACGAGATGTACAGTTAACGCAGTGTACCGGGTGGTGGCACCGATCAGGGCCTGGTCTACATGCAGTGCCCTGCTGCTGTAAGGGAAAGTGGAAGTACACTAACATCTTGGATCACCACCTACCTGTATTGTATGTGCCGCTCTCTTCAGGGCAACCTAGGTCGACGCTTACCTTATGCTGTCTCCCAGTCCTCCAGGAACGAACAAATAAATGATTAATGGAACCCCGCAAATTCCGTTTAGTGTACTCGGAGGATGTGCTCTTGGATGCCCTGGGTTGCAAGCTGAAACGTATCGTGCCGCTAGACTACATCCATGTACACTACACTCAAGCGCCAGGGACTTGGGGGACCAAACGAGCTCGAGACAAGATACTCGGATGGATAGGTAGATACAGAGATGTACGGCACATACGAACAAGCGAGAACGGGATGCAACCTCGGCCCCACCGAGACGCGCTTTTTGATACGCTTCGAAAACGGCTAGCTGGATTCAGCAGTAAGTGTATATTATTTTCAATAGCCCCAGACAGAGTGCTCGTCCGTCGCTCTCAGTATCCAGCTGAGGTCCACGTCCGGCGTTTGGGAGCTATGAGGTTGTTCGTGACTATGCCAAACTTCAACGGGTATCAATTCCTTTGAGGTGGAAAGAAGATTAAAAAGAAAAAAAAAAAAAAAAAAAAAAAAAAAAAGAGATCGGCCTTCTCGGCCTCTTTCTAGTTCCCAGAAGCAGCTCCGCTGTGCCGTACGGGACATCCCCGATTCCGTTGGTGATTCCGCCTGCCTGTTTCACCCTCATCCGTTTTTTTGCTTCACCAACACCAAATAGCACGTGATATCAGTGGTATGAAGACATATCAGGAAAAGCGTTCCAAATCCCATGATTAGGCGCCGCAAATATGTAATGGCAAAGAAGAAAGTGCGACGAACCAACGATAAATGCCAAGATTGTAAGTAGAGAATCAAAATATCATCATTCCGCATCGCAAACCCCCAAAACGCCGCCCCAGAATACCCTTCACATGAACCATGCGCCTTGACGTTGCGTTCAATCATCTATCAACTCTCCTCCTGTCATTCTCCGCCAATACCCCAGATGCCTTCTTTTCTCCTCCGCAGAGCGCCAATCAGTTTGTATTCAGCATATAGAGCGACGTGTCAAGCTTAAAAGGCTTAGAAAAATCCATGACCGAGTCATCAAACGTCACGTTAGCATACGCGTCGTTGACCATCATCTCTCTATCAAACGCCGGTGGTTCGTAGCCGTCAAGGCTGACGTTGTTCAAGTTGTCCATGATTTCCGGGTCCATGGTGGCCCAGTCCATATTGATGTCAAGACCCACACCGTCCGATATATCGCTGCTTGGCTCCGAAGTCTTACTTGATTCTGGCGTGTCATTCGGTGTCTCTGACAACGACATGCTGAAGTCAGACGTTTGGGCTGGGTCAAGAGTCGCAAACAAGTTGGAAAGATACTGGGGATTGACTCCGGTCGCTGCCCACGCATCATCGGCCATTGTCGTCTGGGCAGGAGCCCCGTTGCCACTGCCTGGCGTGCCTGCAGCGTCAGGCCCTCTAGCGCCTAGTCTGCTGCCTTGCCTCCTCATCGACACGTCGCGAGCCATGGGAGTCGCTGCCAATTCCTGCTTACTCATGGGCGTCTGAGCTTGCTTAGGACTGTTCAAAGCTCTACCGGACGCGCCTGAAGGAGCACCCTCCGCAACAGTCGAAATCGCTTTGGTGTTACCGTGTGCGTCCAAGCCTAGACCCAGAGCCATGTTCTCCTGCAAGAACTTGAGAGGATCCTCATTTGGTTTCACGTGCTCTTCATGGTAATGAATATCACGCAATTCCGCTGAGGCGAAGCCAACCACACTTCCTTCACAGCCAATCTCAGGGCAGAGGTAAGGATCCGGCTGCGGCTTCGCCGGCTCTGGGGCCTGTTGCCGCTTTGTTTCCGGCGAAGGTGCCTGAATCTGAGGCGAGGCACTGGCGGTCGACTGAGCCGCTGGGGACGTTGTTTGAGGCCCACCGGTTTTGGCCTTCTTCCGAGGAGGCCACTGCAAATCTGTCGGTCCAATGGGAGGTTTATTGAGATAGACAGGATTACCAGCGGGAGACATCCCAGGACCATGCCCGAGCGCGAACGGTGGTTGTGTTGTCGTCGGTGCAGCCGGAGGTTGCGTGATCTTGTTAGAGGCCCGATTCGGTGCTTGTTTGGGCACCTGTGTTTGCTTGTCCGAAGGCGCAGCATTAGATAGCGGAGATGGACCTGTGCGTTGATGAAGTTGAGGCTGGCCTGCTGCTTGCTCCGTAGACTGAGCTGCGGCCTGTGAAGCCCCTGATTTCAATTGATTGACAAGACCGTCGAAGAATAGCTTGATCTCATCAATCTCTTGGGCCGTAATAGTTAAGGGGTTACGAGTCTGGCCGGTCGCTTTTTCTGATTGAATTTTGATTTTCAGATTCTGAAATTGTATACTTGTCAGCGTATTCCTTACAATATCTGGCGAAGTTCGCGGGGAGAAGACAACATACACAACGGGCAAGCTTTCTGACCAAGATTTCATCGTTTGTCATTCGATCAAAAGCCCCCGGAATAGTGGTTAACTCATTCATCTTTTGGGTGACTTCGCGTATTTTGAGCACCGCCGATTGGTACACATCCATCGGCATGTGAACCGGCTGCAACGGGTTCTGCTCAAATTCTTTTTGCACCTGTCTTGCCTCGTCTGCCCATATATTCTTGAAACGGTCACTGACCGTTGGACGGACGGCGCTACGTTGCTTCGCCTGCGACAAACTTTGCTGCATGGGAACGCCGTTCGGGCGCGATACATCGGTCACATCACCCGGATGTGATCGTTTAAGGCTCTTTTGGGCCACGACCGGTGATGGATTTGGCGGGCCAGTTCGAGGTTGCTGGCTAATCCTTGAGACAGACAGCGCGGGAGTCGCAGAAGTTGAATCACTGCCGTCCGTCGGCTTCTGAGGAACAGGTTGTCGGTTGTTGACCGGTGGTTGCACTTGCTGCTGCTGCCGTTGTTGATCTTGTTGTTGCTGTTGCTGTTGCTGCTGCCGCTGTTGTTGTTGTTGTTGTTGTTGTTGTTGTTGTTGTTGTTGTTGTTGTTGTTGTTGTTGTTGTTGTTGTTGTTGTTGTTGTTGTTGTTGTTGTTGTTGCTGCTGTAGTTCTTGTTGCTGTTGCTGTTGATGATGGTGCGCAGGTGGTGGCGCTGGTGGTTGCGATTGTGCCTGCAATTGCCCTTGTATTTGCTGTGGCTGCTGCGGCTGCTGCAATGATGGAGGCTGCTGTGATGGACCTGGGACCTGCATACCGGTTTGTGCGGCATATTGGGCGTGTGTTTGCGCTGCTGGTCCGGAAGAGGCCGTATTTGGTTGGTTAGACCCTGCGGGGGGCATTTGCACCATGGGCTTCTGGTTTACCATACCGGCGCCATTGTTCATTGCCTGCAGCTTCCTGGCAAAATTCTCATACTTGGTCTTCCGTATTATAACTTGAAGCGCCTGATCTGAGTGGCCGGGAAACTTCTTACGGGCCATTTCTAGTTCATGCGGGGCGATCTGAAGCACATGAGGAGGAACGTTCGTCTTTGGGGGTATCAGTGGCATCCCGTTAGGTTGCTGTGAAGGACCGGGCCCATTTGGATTCTGCGGAGCTCCGCCCATGGAGGCAGCCTGTGCTCGTTGCTGCTTTTGCAATATTACGTGCTGAATCTGGTTTTGTTGGAAAGTAGTAAGCAGCTGGGCGACCTTGTCCTGAACATGAGGAGGTAGGCCTGCTGTCTGATACCATGCCTTCAGATGAGCCCATTTCTTCAAATTTGGAGGCAGGATCGCGGGTTGTACGGATCCACGTAATACGTTTAGCGTATGTGCGGGGATATCCCAATTGTCGACCATTTGTATCGCCCGAGGGTTGGTGGCAAGGGCTACCATCGCCGCAGTTTGTGCATTTTGCGGACCGTTCAGCTGTGGTTGACCAGGGCCTGGCTGCATGCCAGGCGGCATCACACCACCCGGCTGCTGAGAGCTTCCCATGTTCAGCGGTTGGTTGAGGGTGTTGACAGCGCCGATCAGCTGGTGTTGAGCTGGCATCCCAGACACTTGAGGATGCTTGGGTAACTGTTGAGCGTTGCCTGTGGTGTTCCTATTCTGCTCCCACTTGGCCATAATATCCTTGAGCTGGTTTTCAGGCAAGTTTCCCGGCACACCACCATTGTTCGGATTCAAATTACCCAGCATCGCAGCCATCGCAGGATTGCTGGCGTTAATATTACCCTGCATTGACGGCGGCCTTGCGTTCGCGTGGTGGTTGAATGACGGGTTCAGCGTTGTCCTCATCCCCTGGGCCATGGGAGTGGGGGACTGTTGCATCGGTGCCGCCATATTGTTGATTGCGGGACTCTGCGATGTTGTAGGCAGTGCTCCAACCCCTCCAGGTTGCCCTTGCGGGTGCCGGTTCGGTACTTGTCCCCTTATCGGTATTTGTGCCTGTGTCTGTGCGGGGTTCAACGTTTCCATCGGGACCGGTGGGTGGTGGAATCCGGGCGGCGCTGAATTCGGCGGAGGCCGCGGCGTTTGGTTTGGCCCTTGCTGAGCAGCCGCCGTGTGCATGTGGTTTATCATAGGGCCAGGGGTGGCATTGCGTCCGGGGGCCCCGGGACCTTGACTTTGTGGCACAACAACCTGACCGGCTTCCTGGGCACGCAGGCCCATTTGCTGCTCATTTCGGATTGCCTCAAGATTGGGCGGGAGGAGCTGCCCATCGGTAACACCATGAGACTGCCCCGGCGGATTCATTAAAGTAGGATTGACTTGGTTGTGAGGTTGAGGAACTTGTTGAGGATGCGCTGCCATGCCTTGACGTGACTGCGCCATCATATTCCGACGCGCTTGATTCAAACTTTGATGTTCGAAGTAGATCATCAACGGGTCCACTGCCAATGCTCGAATCTGTTGGACATGTTGGGGAGCCAGTTGCGATAGTACCTTTTCCCGGAGTGGGTCTCTAAGGGGCTCAGGAATGGCGACAATTTTTTTCAAGGCGAAATTCTTGATGAGCGGCCTGTCCCGCTCGGTGAGGCGTTGAATCTCATGGTACTCCATCAGCGCGGTAGGAAGGCTTTGTGTGATCTGCATAGCAAGTTGACCTAAACGACTCTGCATGACTGCTGGATTGGGGACACCGACGGGCAACGGTTGGGATTGATGTGGCATTGTGGTAACTTGAGCTGGATGCTGATGGGGATGAAAGCCTGGCTGCGCCATTCCCCTTTGCATGGCCATCTGGTTGATCATCATTTGCTGCTGCTGCTGTTGCTGATGTTGCTGTTGTTGTTGCTGCTGTTGCTGTTGCTGATGTTGCTGTTGTTGCTGCTGCTGCTGCTGCTGCTGCTGCTGATGCTGCTGATGCTGCTGGTGTTGGCGTTGCTGGAGCTGGTGCTGTTGAAGCTGGTGCTGTTGCTGGGCTATCTGAGCTTGTCTCATCGCATTGGCTTGCATTTGTTGTTGGATGAGAGGAGCGCGAGCCTGTCGCTGTTCTACAAGTTGTGCGAATCGCTGACCCAGTAGGTTCTCGTACGTCGGCTGAGGTTGGTCAGCCAAGTTAGCCAAGATGGTTTGGTGATGCAGAGGGGCGTTTCTCACCTTATCCGGGGACTGCACAAAGGCCCGCCGTTCGATCTCAAGCGCGAGATTCACCGCCTCTGGCCAGGTGTCGACTTGTCCAGCTAATTTGAGATTGGTAGCCCTGGAGTGAATGTCAGCCTCTAGACTTTTTGTAGATAATGGCCGAGCTTCATACAGGGATGACGTCTTCTGGACGCGTTCCGGCAGCTGAATGTGTGTAGCCTGCCAGCCGGTCGCTGGCGGAGGCTGAGACGTCAACCTAGCTAAAACGGCCTGAGTGACTTGGCTGTGTTTAGGCGGTATCATTTGCCCGACCTGGGCCCTCGGCGGCATGTTCGCGGCCATGGCCGCAGAAAGCCGATGGCGGTCAGTCCCCTATCGACTGATGGTGATGCGCTGCAAAGAGTGACGAGACAAAGTTCCCTAGGCGGTGGGAACAAAACTGTCTGTCGGTGGTTTTCGACCACGGGTCCGGCGATGCGAGCGACTGAACGGTCAGGTAGAGCGACAGCAAGCGGTTGTGAATCGTGGGAGATACGGGTGACCTAGGTAATCGTATTGTGTGGTTTCGGCATCCGACGCGGAGGAAGCAGGAGCTCGGAGGAGGGAGGCGGAGATGGAGGTCGCTGGTGAAGAGGGCGGCGGCCTCTGGATGATGTCAGGCCAAGGGAACTCGAAGTCGTCTAACGGACTCTCTCTGCAGGCAGAAAGTGATGGCGGCGTATAGTCAGGCGGTCGGCGAAGTTGGGTCGTGGGAATGCCCGCCGTGGATTTGAAGCATCGGCTCTCGACTCAAATCGAAATCTGGGCTCGGTGTGCGCAGGGCAGGACAAATCGGGGCGGAGGGTCGTGAATGGCGGCAAAAATGGGGCTCCAGCAAGCAATCGGCCTCGGATTTCCACTGCAGGGTTTCCAGGCCGGGTAGAAGACGGAGCGACGCGGCAGAATGGGCCGACAAGAATGCTTGGTAGATTGAATCCGTCCTCCACTGGAGACAAAAGAAACAAGTCGTCCGGGGTAGGAGATCCCAGAGTCGCGGCCTAGATGATTTGAAGCTGTGACGGGCGAGCGAAACAGAAGAGGCCGTCCACGAATGTCAGGACAGGATCGGGCTCCAACCTAGCGAGACGAAAGTGAAAGTAACACGAGTGCTAACTTGAGCGTAGTGCACCCCGAAAATGTAGGCAGTAGTCAGCCGAGTAGAGGATCGGCGTCGTGCTTGATGGGAAGAGCGCCCCGTGGTTGACTTGACCAAACAGTCAGTCAGTCTTGGTTGGTTGGGCTGGTTGGGTGAGGTGGAAGACTGGAAGTTGGTGGAAGTGAAGTGGAAAAAAACAGGTGTGACCGGGTTAGTAGAAGCAGAAGCGGAAGCGGAAAGTGAAGCTTCGTTCCATACACAATTGTCACGGGCAAAAGCGACAAGGCCCAGGGAAGGTAGGTCCGGGTTGAGAGGTGGGAGCGTCGAAAAGGAAAAACCAGGATGATGTCGGTGGATGTGCTCCAGGTTTGCTTGCGGAGGGAAAGTGAAGTGGAACGGGGAGTGGCCCTGCCCTGCCCGGGGCAAGGGGGAAAAGAGGATGGAAGATGGATGGAGCGTGAAAGGCGGACGGCGGGCGGGCGGGCGGGCATGCCGGGCTGTTGTGACGAGGGGACTAGGAGTCGAGTCCCAGGGCAGCGGACAGGTCCCTTTCCAGGAGCCCCAGGAGCCCATGGAGGTCGGGCAGGGCAGGGCCGCCAGGTAAGGTAGCTCACAAGTACACTCCATCGGTACCTCTAGGTACTAAGATAGGTACCTACCTTTAGCTACAAGCAGGTGACTCTAGAGGTAAGTTCCACCCGCACTACCTCCTCTAGGTCGGGCAGACTGCCGCGCTGCGCTGCCCTGGGCTTGAACCTACCTGGAGGGACCTACAGACGTGAGGTAACGACCTCGAAGCCCCCAACTGCCTGGGCTTCCATACCTCTACCTAGTACCTACCTCTAGGTACGCAGAACACCAAGTACCTAGTTGTAGCCTGGACCCAACCCACTCTTCCCTTAGAGGCATTCTGCTGCAACCGACTACGAACCATTCAGAATCGGGCTAGCTGCCCGCCAAGAACCCACCATCTCTGCACTACTATCCAATCAAAAAGCACCAATGTTGACACTGTGGACCGTGCTTGGAGATTTCAGAATTCAGGCACCTTGGCCGAACCATCGTTCTTTTTTGTTGCCTGTAGGAAGTTGTACCGACAAAGGCAACGTCAGGCCAAGTGCCTACCTCGTTGTCAAAGCGATGGTGAGTTTTGCTCTGCGCCTTATTAACGAGTGTATATGTATACCTTCAGTTTACCCACTTACCTATTACGCCAGGCCTCGAGAACACTTCGAAGATCGACCAGATCCGCTAGTTATGGTGATAAACCTCATAGGTACGCTCCCCAGTGTATCAGTAATCCGCTCTCGAGGACGCCCCAGTATCGTTGGGTAGTTTACCCGTTCCCAGCAAGAGGTGGGCTGAAGACGAACGATATGTGACTATTGTCAGTGTCCGTCTATGTATCTACATAGACATCATTCGCGGCAACTCACTTTCCCCCTAGGCCAGCGATGGCGTTCTGGACATAATCACGGTCATCAAACGGTCTGTCCTTCATTGTACTAGGAAGATCCCCCAAGATCGACGTCGCATCCTCACCCCGGCCGGATCTGCTGGATGTACGGCACCTCCCTGTGTGCCGCTGAGTCTCATATCTCCCAGGAGGACCATCGACAACTTCTCATATTACAGCTCATGGGAGTTTTTGATTGTGGTTCGGAGTCAACGATCCAGCTTTCTCCATTCTTTCTTTTTGAGAAAGAAGACGGGCGTTGTGGATGTGATGATGGAAACATGCACGATGGGCACGTCACCACGGCAATGGGCGATAAGGCGGGTACAAGTGAGTGACAATACTTGTCCACGTAAGCCAGTTGGGCTATTTGCGCACCTCGACTAAAACATGGGCAAGTACAGTAGAGGTAGGTACCTAGGTAGAGGTATGGAGTGACACCGTAAAGTCATATTTACTCTACTGCGTAGGTAGGTAGCTGGAGTGCCTTCGGTCACCATAACGTTTTGTCAGCCTGTGTCACGGATTACAAGCATAGCTACCTAGGCACCTGCACCTTCCACTCAAGATGAATCGTAACTCGGCACAACCGGGAGCTGCCCTGACTGGATAAAGATAGTATGGTTCTCGTGAATTGAGTATCGTCAGTAAAGTTATTTCGTTGTGTGCCCGGTACCTACAAGGTAGGAGATATTTTCCACTTTGTTACGCGGTACTATAGTAAAACCCGCCACCTTAGAGATGCAAAAGAAAACCCCGAGAAAAGCAGCAGATACCGTCATCGTTTGCGGAATTTGAGCTGAGGTGTGCATCCAGCATATTTTGGCTCTGCCCTGGCAGCCCCCAGGCCCCAACGCCAGGCCTTTTGGATGATCAGCGCCAACAACCTAGGTTTCGCAGGTCGGCGGTGGGGTGGAGGGGCAGCAAGATGCATCTGGATCTCGCATTGCTCTTGAAGATGATCGCTTGCGCTTCTCTCGTGTCATGTCATCAACATCGATGCCGTCTTCGCTTTCATCTAGAACGTAAAAACACGGCGAGAGGTGTGATCGGGCAAATGACTGACCATCTGCAAGGAGACGGAACGAGCACGGCGCATTCACACATTTCACAGTCATATGGAAAGAGAGGTGCGACCCACGGCGGGCTCTTAGGTCCATGTCCACCGACAGCCACACATCAAAGTGGGTCTCGAAGAACTCGCTGTCATCGTGCCGTGGTATCATGCTCACTATACCGCATATAATAGCATCGAATGGTGAAGCTCACCTTCGTGGAACTGCGAGTGGACTTCACCAGGCCGGCTGAAAAATGGACAAATTTTTTATTTTCCGGCTACGGTTCATCTCTTCATACCTCTACCCTGGACGGCGGGAGACGGAAAGGAACTACGGTCAGCGTTGTCGCAACAAAAAACAGGGCCGATCCCGTCCGTCTGGGGTCCAAGCGTTAATTGCTGGGCTGCCCCTGTGGGCCCAGAAAACCATGGTCAACCCGAACCCGCGAGGCTCTCACATCGCTACATGCTAGGTACATAGGCTGTCCTTTCATCACTCGCTAGCTGATTTTCCAACTAGGTACCAAAGTACCAACTCAGGAAAATTATGCCCGAACGGTTGTTGTATGGCGCCCAACAGAACACCAGCGAGAAAAAAAAAATGCCTGAGATCTCCTCTAGGTAGGTAGCAACAAAGAAACAATAACGAAGCCTGCTCGCGCGCCAACCGTTCAGCGGCTAACGATCAAACGACCTCTTCGCTTCTTTCGCTTGCCTATGTACTAGTACCACGCGGCTGTGGAGGCGATCTCTGTATTCCAGATTTTGTGAGGACACAGTGAAACAGCTTTATTTTTTTATTTTTTTATTTTTTTATTTTTTTCTTCAAGTTGTCGTTAATCTCTTGTTTGTAAGTAGAGGTTGGCCCGAGATCCTAACTCTAACTCATCGTCAAGATCTTCAATTGATTCATATTTCTGCCCGTTATCAAGCTATGGCCTACAGCCATGTCGTCGTTCATGGCACCCTCAGGCTGACCCTTTTACACTTTTGTTGACTCGCTTACATATCTCGCCCACCCACCCGTTTGATTCCCGAGCGATCACAGATCACACTAGTCAAAGCGAACCTCAATTTCCCAATATGTCGAGGTAACATGATCTGCGTGACATATGTATCCGGGGGTGCAAGCTTCCTCCCCAACATCTCATGTAGGCTCTTCGAAAATGGTACTTTTCATCGCAACTCCAAGGTGACGTTTAATCCACTGCAGTGTAGACCTAGGTCATGGGTAGATCGCAGCTGGATGCGTGGAATGCAACAGCGATGCCAAAGGTTTGGTTCGGTTGATGCCCCTGGGCGCTGGGGCTTGGGCCGAAGTGTTCATCCCGCTTGGGTGTGCAGGAGATCATGAGATGTATGATCGCCGACGTTTCCTTCCGTAGGGATCTCGGAGCCTTTGTTTTCAGAATTGTTTTTTTTTTTTTGTTTTTGGAACAGATTTCTTGGGAGGACCTGGGGCCGTTCGTACCGTTTTGGATGGCTTGTTTTCAGCGAATCACTCAAGGCCATGACTAGCTTCTGGGACTAACAGCCTAGAACCTAGTCAAATACCTGTGTCGTAGACCGTAGTGTACAGGTGTACCTTGACCATTGTCACCAACCGAATTCTTCATCTTCTTCTTCGTACATTGAAACGTTGAGAGTTAGTTTACAAATATCTTTCGCCTACCTATCAGTGAACTCTGTCCTACTTTCATCTTTTTCGCACTCCCGCTTTGGGCTAACTGTATCCATCGCACCGGCATCAGCTTTGCATAACACTGGACTGACAAATACTTACCGGGAATCGAAGACTTGAGAGTCGGGGTTTGAGGTACAAGCACGCTACTTTAGGTGCCGCTGCTAGACCTTTTTAGGCGAGCGCAGAATGAATGCCTAATGACAAGAGAATGCCCTCTGTAGGTCGAAAATTGCGGCGTTGCGGGGATGATTGCATTTGATGTTCTGATAATGATGGGCTTTGCAGTTCATGGTACCTCGAGGTCTCTCTCCCGCGTAAAGCCTGATAGCAACCACTATAAGGCTTCCCAAGAATGGCAAGAGCGGGTCAAGTTAACCCTGTTAAGAACTTGGGGCCATGGCCTGCCGACTCAGGACCCTGCAACTTAGGTGCTGTCGGTGTTACGGTTCGCGGCTACGTCTTGGGTCACAATCAAGATGTCCTCCGTTCCCCATTGTCTCTTGAATTGCACGTTAGCAGGCAGGACCGATTTCACTCGGCCTTTCTTCTTTTTTCAGAAATACTCTGCAGCGGTCAAGGAACCAGGAAGAAGAGATCTAAAAGTGCGGCAGAGGGATGCTGGCGATTGGGTCCCTAAGGGTGCCACCATCTGCGAAATCCGGGACCTTCAACCTCGAACGGAGGCACAAGTACCGGGAAGCCTTTGTACCGTTGGTCCAGGGTCATCACAAGCTTCCGGGTGATGAGTATCGAGACTGGAAAACCACTTGCGCTGAATGGTTTGCCATATTGATCAGCATAGTTGGACGAAACACGGCTGTGGTTGAAAATGCTTTGAATTCAGCCGTCATTAGCATTTCTCTTTCTGGTCATTGTACTGTGTGCCTTATGGTGTCGACAGTGGTAAAGGTGCACGCAAGGATCTCCTATGCACGTAACACCCAAACCCTGATTTCACTGTCCGGAGTCTGTGATCATTCGCCCTGAAAAACCCTGGGCAGGCTGACACTGGGACTTTCCGTCGATAGGAAGGTTGCTGCCGGATTTGATGGTCATTGACCTGGTCCCTGGCAGGGAATACTGATCGACTGTGGAAATGAGATTGGCGACCTCGGATCAGCATAACAGGAAGGGCCTTTTGATATTTGATTTGTGTGTCGATGCGTGTCTCCGTGAGCTCTGTACAGCAACGGGAAATCCACGTGTAGGTTTGCCATTCCAGAGTTTCCTGCCACGGGGCCCTCGTCTCTCGTGTGGTGTCCTCATCATGTCCTTGCCAAACCAATATAATGTGCCCAAGACTTAGAACATGAACTTGGTGTAACCCACCTTGTACCATCCAAGCTTCCTTTTGGATGTCTTCTGACGGTAACATGGTGGCTGGCTGGCTTTGGCATTGATAGCCTCGAGACTCGGTGAAGTGGTTACGGCCTTGATTCACCGACAAACGTGCCCGAGTAGACAATGAGCATACTGCCTTCAAATCTTGCTTGTCGGGTTGCCAAACGTCGTAGCGTGGAAGTGATGTCAGCTGGGATCAGACCAGACAGAACGCGAGAGTAAAAGCTGTTTCATAGCAGCTGGCTGCTGTATTATGTTGCTCGAAATGAGCTTGACGAAGTCTTCTAGTCCGACCTTGTTGGGGGGTGAAGGATGGATGGGATGTGTGATGAGTGCATGGGGGGACTGGGAACGAACGAAGCGAAAAGGGGCGGAGAAACGTACACAGTGCGCCATAGGTAGGAATTCAGGTTCTGATGCAGTGGGTTTGACGGCCGCGGGGTGTAGTACCAGCACTGTACTTACTACCTAGTATTTAACGTGTAGTGTTGGGGCCTCTTGCAACCTTGCTGGGATTTGATTGGTCTCCGTGCTATGCCAACCGATCGTCGTGGCAGCGGTACGTACCTGTATGCCCGTCGCAACCCGTCGACAATTCATATTCGACAGAACAACAAATATCATCTCCCAGGGCTGCGATGTCATTGAGTGTTCAAGCTATAGAGGTTATCAGTAGAGAGCGGTGTACGACAGACCGGTTGATAACAAAATGATTCAGGACTAATTGATATATTCAATAGCTAGTACAGTATTCGACCGGCTGTCGTGGGGTTGGTTCTGATAAACGACAAACGGCCCGTTCGGGGTTTATAGCGACGGGAGTCATCCGTGTCATCCTCACCAGGTCGTCGCCCTTTCGCAGACTGTGAATCGCGAGCCCTCTGTCGCTTGAGGATGACTGCCCTTTTGCACCCCAGCTAGGTTTTCCGATTTTGATCTTCCAGTAGTTCCCCATCTGAATCACCGTCCTGTTCTGGTTCCCCTCCTCTGTGCTTACTTTTCTTTTTCTCGGACGACGTCTCTTTTAAATTAGCCCCAAAAGGGAGCTGGGAGTCCTGGACGCTTCACCTGTTGGCCCAGGGAGGCAGGGCCCCTCGCCTCTTGGCCCCCAACCTCGCTCATTGGGCAGGTCTGTCAGGTCCAAGGCAACACAATCTAGCTCTTTTCACCCACGGTCGATCTTTTTGGACAGCAATTAGGGTTCATATTTCATCTTTCGTCTTTCGTCTTTCTGGCTCTAGTGCTTAAGGCTGCCCTGTCCCAGGCCGCTCGAATGATTGTGCCCGAGCAGGTGCATGAGCCACTGAGAGATGAGCATCATTCAGCAAGGTAAAAGTTGGGCAAGGCAAGACGAGACAAAAGCAAAAGAAAAGGCCCGTTTTTGAGGTAGGTAATGCAAGTCAACACCCTAAGGAAAACAGCCATGTCTCATCTCAAATGGGGGGCGAAAGCGATTTCCCAATTGCCCCTGGTTGATGAGGTCGAGCATTGTCTGATTGTTTTGTCCACCCCAGATTAGGGGGCCACTGCCGAATGGATCCAGCAAAGAGCGTTTCAAACAAAGCGAACTGAAATCATGGTGAAATGTGAATGGTCTCGCCATTCCACCTCTGCTGCTTCGCACACAAGATAGACCAATAGCCGTGAACCACTAACATGGACTGAAGAGGAAAAGAGGAGGTACACCTCTGCCGGCGTTTACTCTGATAGTGCGGTACCACCACCCCACAGAATTTGACTGGTTGGCGGCGGGCATACCAATCATATTCTGTAGGATCAACAAAGTCATCGCCACTTGCAATCCCACCACGCTAACAAAGCAAATGCCTGCAGAGATGTACACTACACATCTCTGGGGAGGTTACGACAGCTGTGGTGCAACACCGGCGAATCCCGCTAGAAAGGACAAGTTGTCTTGCCTGCCGGCACCAGGTTGTGATTGAGGCATGATGTCTGCATCGTCTGAGCATCTATGCGGCCGGGTAACCCCTCAAGTAATAGGAGGCATCTGGAGGGTTGAAGGTGCCAAAGTGATGCATCGCATCGGATTGGGTAACAGGCAGATCAGGGTTAAACCTCGACATGGGTATCTCAAGTGACACCATATTCAATCTACCGGATACTGGTAAGAGACGAGAGTTTTGAGGTTATCCTGGTGACGAGATATATATTGACTCTCGTCACTAATACCTACGAACAGACAATGCGCAATGCGAGAAGCGATACGGACGTCCCGTTCGTAGGTTGCTGTCAAGCTTCACGATGTCGTTGCGGAGATGAACCCATCCATCATCCATCATCCATGAACCATGGCCGCCTTTAACCCCGGGCTCCCCGCAACCGACGGGACCTTCCCGCCGCTTTGCCTGACTAACATTTAAGCTACAAAAGAACTTGGAGAATGTTAGTACCTTCCTACTTAGGTGAATGACAGCTACCCCGCCTATCCTATCCTAGGATCCGACGTCCCGTCGTCAATCAAAAACCAAAAACCAAAAAGTACCTACCTACCCCCTCATTGGCGTAGGTCCGTCACGACATACGAGATCTCGATATCCTATTTTCTCACACAGCGACAAGCTCCTCAATGCTCGCCACCCCTCGAGTATCACCATCACCGCGTCTCTTTTCGGCTGCCATCCATAGCTTCAGTCTTAGACCCAACAGTAACACAGCTTCCTCCGTTCCTTTCCACGTGGTGCGCTGCCACTTCTCATCTACTGCTGCAAGGATGGCCCCTCCCAAGTCCGCCTACGGCTTTCTCGACTTTGTCAATGCCTCTCCCACTCGTATGTTCCAATTCGTTTCCAGTACAGTTGTCGTTGATTAAAAGTTCGACATCACGAGCTCGTGAGCTGACCGGCGTGAACTCCCCACACTCTCTGCAGCCTACCATGCCGTAGCCACTTCTGCCGCCCTGTTTGAGAAGGCCGGCTTCAAGCTCATTCGCGAGCGCGATAACTGGGCCTCGGTCGTCCAGCCGGGCAGCAAGTACTATCTGACGCGCAACGGCTCCTCTATTGTCGCCTTCGCCGTCGGCGGCAAGTGGAAGCCCGGCAACCCCATCGGCATGATCGGCGCTCATACCGACTCGCCCTGCCTACGCGTCAAACCCGCCAGCAAGAGGAACGCCCATGGTTTCCTCCAGGTTGGCGTTGAGCTCTACGGCGGCGGTATCTGGCACACCTGGTTCGACCGCGACCTCAGCGTCGCCGGCCGCGTGCTCGTCAAGGATGGCGACGGCATCTTTATCCAGAAGCTGGTCAAGGTCGACAAGCCTATTCTGCGTGTTCCCACTCTGGCGATCCACTTGCATCGCCAATCCAATTTTGACCCTAACAAGGAGGATGAGCTGCTTCCCATTCTCGGTCTGGTGGAGAAAGAGCTCAACAAGCCCGCCGCCGAAGCTGCTGCTGCTCCCGAGGAGAACGCCGAGGCCGATGCCGACTTCCAGCCTCTTAAGGCCATGACGGACCGCCACCATTCGCAGTTCCTCTCCGTCGTCGCCTCCGCCGCCGGCATCTCGTCCGCCTCGGATATTGTCGATTTTGAGCTGATCTTGTACGACACACAGCCCTCTTGCCTCGGCGGTCTGAATGACGAGTTCATCTTCTCGGCCCGCCTCGACAATCTCAACATGACGTACTGCTCCGTCATGGGCCTGATCAACTCCGTCTCCTCCAACTCCTCGTTGGAAAACGACCCCTCCATCCGCCTAGTCTCCTGCTTCGACCACGAAGAGATCGGCTCTCTCAGCGCCCACGGCGCCGACTCCAACCTCCTCCCCGCCATTCTCCGCCGCCTCTCCGTCATCCCTTCCCTGAACGCCGACTCCACCGAAACCACTCCCGTTTCCGAAACCGCCTTCGAGCAAACCCTCGCCACCTCCTTCCTGGTCTCCGCCGACATGGCCCACTCGGTACACCCCAACTACGCGGGCAAGTACGAGACCAATCATAGACCGGAGATGAACAAGGGCACGGTGATTAAGGTCAACGCCAACCAGCGGTACGCGACTAATTCACCGGGCATCGTGCTGCTGCAGGAGGTGGCCAAGCGCGCCAAGGTGCCGTTGCAGGTGTTTGTTGTCAGGAATGATAGTCCGTGTGGAAGCACAATTGGGCCTATGCTTAGCGCTAAGCTGGGTGTCAGGACGCTGGATTTGGGAAATCCGCAGTTGTCGATGCATTCGATTAGGGAAACGGGAGGGAGCTGGGATGTGGAGCATGCTATTGGGCTGTTCAAGGGGTTCTTGGAGATGTATGGGGGGTTGGAAGCTAAGATCTTTATTGATTAAGCCTGCTTGGCCCGGGGGGATGTTGGTTTTGGAGGTAGAAGATTGGTTTGCTGGATTTGACTGCTATCTATTAGCCCTGGAGGTTGGTTGGATGTTTTGATCCCATGTATGGATGGGCGTTTGGATGTGGCGAGGTGTATCACCTAGAGGGCAAAGGGTTTGGCATACCGCAAAAACGAGCGTTGGGAAAGAGACTGGACCATGGTCATTGTGTAAATTGTAAATAAAGTCCCGGATTGTTGAAATTATATAGCCGGAAACGGGGTGAACGTGTGTAACCAATTACCACTTAGGAAGAGATGGCATGAGCGTCATCTGTTCCTGATTAACGTTCGATCGACCGCTCCTGTTCGTATGAAGTTACCCTGTAAGCGACCAAGAATGGTAGATGGATCCACGCTAAAAACTTCTATAGATCTAAGAACGAAAGTGGGTGATCTCTAGACCATGATAAGATGCCAAAAAGAAATATAATATGCGAATGTCAACTCCTCGACGCCCCAGAAAACACCGTGAGACGCCGGTATGGGCGCCATGCCAAATAATATAGACAAATGAAAAATCCATGTACAGATAAATGCTACCAGATCTCTTCTTCTGCACACACACTCTCTCCTCCATACTCTCCTCCATAAATGCTTCCCCGCTTCAAAATGAAAAAGACAGATGCGTGATGTCGTCTGGACAAGCAAAATCTGGTCCGAAAACCTAAAAGAGAATTCATTCTTTGCCCTCTTGCTCCTCCAACTCGCGCATATACTTGACAAAGGTCTTCTTATGTGTCTGTTCGTGGGAAGATGTTAGAAGATCCGGAAGCAACTGCTGGGGAATGAAAAGGAAGGGGAGGGAGGAAATCAACTTACCATGCCAGCGTACTTGCCATCTCTTAAAATACAGATGTATCTTAGCCCCAACTTCACGAAAAGCTCGTAGACCAAGTCCATAGGGGATCGGATATCCAAAGCTACTGGTGCCTGTGTTTGGGTCCATGCGTCAGTAATAATCTGCCAATATATTCTTCCAACATGCAGGAAAAGGAAATACTAACCGGATCAATGTAAGGTGTGAAATCCGTCGGATCCCTCCTGCCCCCACCCTCCTCGTCATCACTATCATCGATACTTGGCACATTCGCCATCAAACAAAGTGCCGTGCTCTCATCCGGCAAGTTATCCAACGCATACTCCAGATCCGGGGCTGGGATCAGGCCCACCAGAATATCGTTCCTGATAATCGGCAAACCACCGTCCAGCTCGCCGGCCCTGTGCAGCGATTCGAGCTTGGAGCGCAGCGACGTGGCCGGCACAAGCGGCGAGTTGGAGATGTCGATGATGCGCTCGCGTCGCACACGGGGAACGATGTCGATCAATTCGGAGGTGAACACGGGTTTGTGCTTGTTGTTGAGGAACGGGTACGAGTTCATTTCCGTTAGTAAGTCATAAATGCTGAGCGGCTCGATCGCGTCGGCCGTCCACTTGGCCACCAGGATGGCCAAACTAAAAGGGAGCACATAATCCAAACTGCCGGTTAGCTCGAACAGAATGACGGCCAGCGTGACGGACAGGCGGGTCACGCCGCACATGGTGGAGCCGGCGGCAATCAGGCCGTAGACGCCGGGTTGGATGCACGAGACGGAAGAGACTTTGTTGCAGCTGCTGAACATGGCCGTATCTGGGAAGGCGAGGACGAGCCATTGCACCATGTGCCCAATGAGCCGGCCCATGAGACCGCCGACTACCATGGACGGGACATAGATGCCCGCGGGAACTTTGATGCCGAAGGTGATGATGGTTAGGAGACCCTTGATGAGGAAAGCCCAGAGCAAGTGCCACAGGATGGGTGGTATATCGGCCTTGGAATCGGGACAGAGGCCGAGATCTTCCAGGTTGTTGTCCCGGTCATCGCATGGAGCCGCGAGGTTATATAGTAGCTTGGCAACAGGCAACTTGGTAAGACCGTTCCAGTAGCCGATCAGGCCGGTGACAAGGGCGACCAGGACAACTTCCAGAAGAGGATGCTTCTTGATGATAGGAATTCTGCGGAACGTCACCGCCCACTTGCGAGAGGCCTTGATGAAGAGGGCACCGGCCGCGCCACCGAGAACTCCGACAAGGATAAAACTAACCAGCTCAAAGTACTCCCAGTCGATCAGATAGCGCACCTGAAACATGACGATCTTGTGGGTTCCATATGGATTGAGGAATTTGAGCGTCAAGGCCGCCGTGATGCAGCAGAAGAAGGTCCTGAAGAGTGTTTTGGCAGGGAAGAAGTAGGCTACCTCTTCCAGTCCAAAGAGCACACCACCCAAGGGGGCGCCAAAAGCAACAGCCACACCAGCGGCGGCAGCGGCAGAGAGAACCTCACGGCGCTTGGCATCGTTGCGATCATACTTGCTGAAGAGACGGCAGGCAATGTTGCCGACGCAGGTCGCAATGTGGACATATGGGCCTTCCTTGCCCAAACTCAGACCAGACGCAACGCTCAGAACAAGGCCAACAGTCTTGATAATGAGGGTTTTGAGACCCAGGAATCCGTGGAGGACGAAGCCACTAAGGATTACGCGAACCTCGGCAACACCGCTTCCAGCAGCCGAGTAGTAGATCATGGAAGGGGCAGCAGCGGGCGGAGCGACGGATGCCCGTCGGCTGGGAGTACCGTTGCCATTGGGGCTGTCGCCCCCATCATCCCCATTGCCTCCAGGAGACACTGGAGCAGCAGCCAGGTTCTCATCCAGTGTCGACAACCGGTATGCCGAGGGGACGACGGTCTTGGTAGTCAGGGTGAGCAAGCAAGATACGCTGGCCAGAGTAATCACCAAGCCGAGGTAGATGACAAACTCGGTCCAGCGCTCTCCGAACGGCCATCCATGCATGACCTCACCCCAGTCCCGCCAGTCGGTGCAAGGGCCATGTGGACAGCATCTCTTCTCACTGATCAGCCAGCCCCTTGCACAATAACCATCCTTGAAGTCGAAGAATGTCGATTCTGTGACATCGACGATGTAGGCAAGAACAGCAATAATAAAGCCGACCAGAGCGCTGAGTATCCACCCCTGAGCACCGTCGAACAGAATATAAACACGGCCCCAGAAGTCCTTCCGGCTGCGGAGAGCCTTGACACGGTGAGCGTCGGCGATGCTATCGTGAACCCAGTCGGTCGAGGTGAATTGGTCATACCAGACGCGGTCATCAGGGAAGACGGACCCTTTGGGTTCGGAGACGGGTTCCTCCTGGCGGTCGGCAAGGGCGCGTATCAGGCGCTGGCCCCAGGAGTTTGCGCGGCTATGGTGTCGAGTCGGTGGGTTGCTTCGTACCGTGTCTGTCCCTTCTCCTGCTAAAGCCCCAATGTCAAAAAAATGTATCAACATCCCGAAAGGACGGGGATAACTTACCGCCATAACTCTGATTTCTAGAAAGGTTGGGAGCCCTGGGCGTGCCATGAGCGCTGGCTATGCGGATGCGCGAAGCACGGGTTGTTCCCAGTAGAGAAGTGCGCTCATCAGGGGCACCGCCAGCTTGGTTTACGTTGGCTCGTGTGCGGCGATAGCTTGAGGGTGAGCTTGGAACCGAGAGATATGACTGTTGCGAAGGTTCTGCCGAGAGTAGACCATCCGAGTCGTTCTGGCTGTTCTGGTTGCTATCGTTTTGGCCATCGCGAAGCTCGCGCATCCGAGGCGCGTGTTTCCTCCCCGCCATTAGAGACTTGCTGTCTTGGAGTGACGAGAAACAATGCAGGACAAGTCCAGGGTGGAAACTGTAGTCAGGAATGTGGTGACGTTGCGTGGGGGATGGCGAAACTTTCCCAGAGGTCGGCGTCAGATGAAATGGGTGATGTCGCGGTTGAGCTGAACCAAGAAACAGCGCCGGCCACCGAGAAAGCGCAAAACAGGAAGCAACACAGTCCAAACTCCAAAGACAAATCTTGTAAGGGTGAGTGACACGTTGCTAAGGTATGGTTACAAAGCCTGAACCAGACAAACACTGATCACCGCCGCGTTCTCCGTTGGTCGCAATGACGCCCTCGGCCTGGAAGCCGGCAAGTCACTGTCGTAAGAGTTTGGTGTCTTGGATGTCGAGGTTGTGTTGGGCAAGAGGCTACCTAACGGCAAAGGAGCGCATAAAAAGGGAGGGCTGACCGGTATGACGGCAGTGTCTAGTCCCACGTGCGCACCCTGATAGGTGAGGTATGACTCCTCCCAGGATATTTGTTGGCGTAGCTTGAAGCCGACAGCCGACCCGAACACCAACAGGACTCGATACTCGACACGAGGCGCAGCTGTCAGGGAAAACAAAAAGGGCTGTCAGATGGCTGCTTTTGGGGTCGGTGTAATCGATGCCCGTGTAAAGTAAGTGTGACTGAGAGTCGGTACCGTGCCAGAAAGGGCTTTCCGAAGGTATCACGGGAAGTTCATAAGGGCGTTTGAGGGTGCGACAGCGGCATCAAGTGACGATATACCGAGAATCGAGAGAAGAGGTCAAAATACAGATCAATAAAAAAACATCTGAAAAAAAAAAAAAATCTTATCGGGGAGGACGTCAAGCGTGCAGGCGGGAGTAAGCCATGCCGCGGTACATATATGTAAAGCAAGGACGGGAAGCTGGGAAGGGTGTGTGACTGGAAGGCATTAAGTGTGTAACTCCCCTCCCGTCCCTCAGTCCTCCGTTTGCACATCATGCTTCCCGCCAACCGGCTTCAGCATGCGTGGTGCATGAGGTGATTGCCGTCCTTGTCGCGCTATCGCGTATCTCGGAAGAGAACGACAGGACAAGAGAACCTTTGTGGCCCGCCGGGGTGGATTAGCTTCGGGTTGCGGGCGTGATTCGGGGGTTCGAATGGCTTCCTCAAGTCTCATGCAACGCCAGCACCGACATATGAACAAGATAGCAACAAGAACTCGGGCATCTTCCAGGCCTTTCCCCTGCTGCCAATCCATGCAGATGTCCAGGGTAGTCGTTGAGCTGCCTGGTTATGTCATGGTCAGGCAGCCCCACGATGTTGTCCCAGGAAGAAGGACCCCGAAGGAACCCCGTCGTGGGTTTCATCGTTGGAGGAGACGGAGGGGTCCAGGGAAGATAGTGTACATACCACAGACGGGTTAGGGTTGGGGTTGGTGTCGTCGTACGATAAGGCGCCATTTCCCACTGCCCGTCACCGTTGTCGTCCATCCAACAGCCCAAGGATCCGTCGGCTGTTTCGCAGCGGGCAGCCAAGACAGAGAGTTGCAACTATGCTCCACCGGTCACACACCAGCACTAAAAATTACCTTAGTGACACCCTGGCACCCGACCCGACCTCAGATTGAAGAACAGAGACCCACCATGCTCGGCTGACATGGTTACATATTAGTAGCAAGTAAGTCTCACAATATCTTGCTTTGATCTCGATCGCTTGCTCATCTGGACTTTTAGACTAGGTAGGATGAACACCCATATCTGCTATGGACCAGTAGTGTAACAGCTGCACTCACAGAACGGGGATTGGGAAAGAGACTGGAGGGCTGGGGATCAGTGGAGCTGTCTTCGCGCCGCATGGATCTCGAATTGTCCGGCTTTACACTACTCGTCAGGTCTACAAAATCGACCGTCAGACTAGCGGGCGAGCCACTAGTCAGGGACATTGATTCGTACATGGACATTGATTCGTACCTGAAACTGGGGGTACCTCCCCACACCGCCATTTTACTAGTAAATGAAAGTAGATTTAGTCAATAGCATATTTTTTTTAATTATATGTAACCTATTTCCCCGTACTGCCCAATACTCTGGATGTGCACTACTTATTTGCACTCCTTTGTACTCAAACTGCTTATATTCTAAAATGCTTATTTGAATCGATAATATCGATTATTATACTTATATTTATGTACAATCAGTCTTAATTATATTCAACCCCCTTTATTCAACCCCTCTATTTCCTTATTATATTACCTCTCGCTATTTTGCTATTAGACTGCCCTTTTACTACTATATTCCCTATTTATTACGCTATGCTTCATTAACCCTATAAATCTACTAACGGCTCCCTATAGTCTAACCCGACGTTTATTGACTTAACTACTAATACTTGGGATATCGTTGGTAATGTGTAGGAGATGCCACTTGTAGAGGGTAGAGTTTAAGCGGCCGTAAAGTTATTTTAGAATAATAGATTTAAGACTATAGTAGATATAGCGAAGGTATTTCGAGTTCTATATAGATAAATCGTAAGCCGCTACAAGGGTGTATAGCTAAAGTTAGAGAATGGGGGTAATTATACGCTATTAATTAGGGAGGAGGATCTTGCTATATATATTTAGATTAATATATAAATATCCGTCAGTTAATAGTTAATTCTACTATTGTGAATTAAGCTAACTATGCTTTATAGGGATCGAAATAAATCCCTAGTAGTTAATTTTAGTTATAATTGCTTTAATAAGATTAAATTGTAACGACGGTAGTAATACCTTTATACCACGTGCCTCAACCGTATAGGTACGGCGTTACTTGTAAAGAGGTGTATTCTATAGTATACGTACTAAATCTATAGTATAGGTTCGAAAGGCATTACAAACTAGAGCAAACGTTGAAGAAGTCTTTTATCTATTTAATAATACTATTACGAAGCACAACGTTAAGCTAGACAATATTTAGAATAGTAATAAGTTTAGTTTTAGAGTTAGTATATTAGATAAAGCCTATTATATATAGACTTACAATGAAATAATTAAAGTCTAATTAATTAATCCTAATTAGAGAGTTCTTATTACTATCCTTGAGGCCGTTTCTACATTTGGTCGGACTATACCCCCCTTCGTCTTACTCCCTAGCATTAATATTATATACAAATATATTAATAATTCCCTTAAAGATAGGACAATTATTACCGCCTCTCTACGAGGTTATATAGATAACCAATATATATTAGACTAGTTTAAATACTAGAAGGAGCTATTATAGGGCATTCTTGGTAGATACTTAGATGCTCTATCTTATTATAATAGCTGCTTACTAGAGCGTATAGTTCATTATATAAGAGTATTCGTTCCGTTAACCTCTATCAAGGTTAATAGATTATTAATCAATATTATACTAACCTAACGTTTATTTTACTTACACTCAGTAAAGTCGTATATAAAGTCCCAAGTTAAAGCTTACAACAACTCTTATTTTTAACTTCCTTTAACAAAACTATCGTCAATCATTACGTACTATTACTCTATCTAGCAACGAATTACTTATTCTATTATTCTCTATTATTATTACTTATAAAGCATATTTTCGTATAACAAGTAGTACCTATAATTCAATTTCAAACCGACCTTATTATTTCTATCGTCTCTTCCTTTCGTCAAGGGGGGAGATATATTAGGTCTAACAACGATTTATTAAACTTATTAACCATTATTCAACTTTTACCCTTTTAAACCAAATATTTATATATTTATTCCTTAAAGTCCCCCTTTTTTACTACTTTATTATTATTTAATTAAATCTAAAAGCTAAACTAAATAATATTAAAGATTAATTAGGTAAATCCCCGGATAGTTTTCTAACTCTAAAACGAAAATCTAATACGCAAAATATATTAAATTATTAAATTTACTATATTCGAACCGTAGTTTTACTATAAGTAAAGATTCTCGTAATTAGCTACCAAATTGCTTATTAAAGCCGCCTAATTGCGCTTAAATAAAGAAATAGGTTTTATTAAAATCGAACCTAATTAGGTCGCTAATACTAATAATGATATTTATAATAAGGGATAGATTATTAATTTAAATACAGTAGATTATAAAATTCAATAGGTCTTACGTAAATATTGCTAATTAGTTACTAATTACCTACTTTTAATACGTTAAACTTAGCCGTTTTTTACTAAAGAAGGCGTATTATTATAACTCTAGAAAAAGAATTAAAAATAATTTATAGCCTGAATTAAGGAGAATAATATAATCGTCAATACTACTACTTAAATATTAATTCCCCCTAGTACCGGTAGTACCGCCGCTTTAGTAATTACTAGCGTTCACTCTTTACTAGCCAACTTCTTAAATATAATTAAGATAATTAACGTATTAAATTATATTAACCCAGTATAAATTCCTATATTACCTTCCTTACCGCCTATTCTTATTAAATAGTATACTTAATTAAATCCAATTTAACGACCCTTTTTACCTACTAAGTTAATAGTTTTGCAAGTAAATTTAATTATTGAAATTACTATAAGCATTGCCTAATAATTAGTTACTAATCCTATTATTAAATATTTCAAAAAATTTATATAAATTAAAACTCTCCTATATTTTACGTAGAAATAGTAATAGGAGTAGGTAAAGTAATATCCGGGAACTATCCTCGCTAATAATTTCCCGGCCTATTTTATTAATTAGAACCAAAATACTATACGTTTTATTTAATATAATACGAAGCCCGGAAGTAAATCCCCAAATCCTCTACTTTATTTCGCGCAACCTATATAAAACGCTATACGCTTAACTCAAAATAATATAAAGCCCGGTTTCAATCTCCCAGCCCCTACCGCTATAAAACGTATTACTTTTCAACCTTACAAAAATCCTATAATTAATTATAATTAGCACTCTAGTAGTCTTATTAGTCCTACTAGCGAGATAGTTATAATTAGCGCTAAAGACCCTCATAATACCGCTAGTTTAATTAGTTAAATAAAAAATCTTTGGATTAACCGCGCTAACCGATAACCCCTATTTAATAATATTAATTAACTTTCTGCTTATTTTTGTAATTATATACTGCTTCTAACTATTGATTATCAAGTATTCGGTTAAATTATATAAATAAATCCCAAAGGCTTAACAAATTAAGTTCCGGTTAATAAAAAAGAAGCCGAATAGTAGGAATATTAAATCTATTAATAAAGAATACCTCTAATAATATTAAATAACAGTAATTACCTTCCTCCTACTATTTTAAAAATCTCCGCCTCTTTAACGTATTTAACTTTTTACCAAAATACTTATCCTACTAATAATTCGTAATTAATCCGCTTTAATATTAATTTCAATACTTCCAACCTATTAATTAAAACTAATAATAATAGTATAATAATAAACAATTCAGCACTTCACAAAATAATTAAAAATATACTAAAGCGTACCTCTAATATACAATTTATAGTACTATAGACGTCAAATAAATATTAGAATTAGGTCATACAAAAGATATAAATAGAATTAATAACTCTCCGTACTAAATTTAGAAAAACGTAGGAGCTTTATATTAAACGTTTCCCCCCGACCTCGTCTATTAGTAGGAACCGTATACTCAATACTATCCCTAGTATTACTACTCCTCTATTATAGGACTAGCGCCCGATAAGGCATCTAGCTCTGACTGGCCAGACTCGAGTGCTAAGACGGCAGCTCGTATTAAAACTACCCCAGTCGACTCGGACCGCGGCACTACGGCGCCCCGGGCTTCTAGAGAATTCTCTTACTACCTCAGGCTACAAGGCACTAAGCGTACAGCCATTTAAGCTCTAGTACTCAACCTACCCAAAGGGTAGTATTTTCTTCTTTCTTTCTTTATAGAACTTTAATATATATATAGTAGCCAACACCCGCGTATCGCTCTACTATCTCCTTATATTAGGTTTTACCTATTTATTAATTAATTATTAGAAGGAAGGACTGCCTATAGCTATAGTACAATATATATTAGTATTAGAATAGTTTCCTTTTCTATATTAAATAATAATAATGATACTAATACTAATATAGAAACTTCCTATGATTCTCTAATGATAGGGAGCGTTAAAATACCCCCCGATACTACTGGCCTATTTAATAATTTACTCCGAACTCTATAGGCTAGCCTAGAGTTGAAGGGGAAAGTTAAATCTATAATTCCCTTTTCTATTTACTCCTAACCTACTTTGAAGTTTAAATTTATATACCCTACTAAATAGGATTCCCCTAATAGTAATAAAAATAAAGGAAAGTCTAAGTGTGACGAACGGCAGTCTGATCTGCCTACGTGGGATAGTTGAAGGTAAAGACTATTAGTGCTGTTCGGTGAAGTTAGAAAGTTTACGATAAGTATATATTGTAATATTGGTCTCGGTAATAATGATTAATTGACTACTATCGAACTACCTAACAATCTGAGTTTTCTAATCGTCCTTTTATACTCTATGCTTCGTCCTGAGGCCTTAATCCTAGGCGTATGCTTACGATAGTATTTTACTTATTGTAAGCGCTACTTACTATAAATATTATTCGTTGTAAATATTATTTATTATAAGTATTGCTTATTATAAGTATTATTTATTGTAAGCGCCTATTCTAGTAAGCGCCTTTCTAATACTCCCCTATTTTTTACCCTAGTTTGAGGTTATATTATTTTATTGTAAATAGGGCTATTACATCCTAATAGCTTAGTTAGCCTACGTAATTACTTAAATTCGTAATATAATACCTCCCTTCCCTAACCGACGTTTTCGACGGCTTTATTAATTTCCTAGAAATATTTATCTATTTTTATTCTCTATAATTCTTTTGCTCTTAATCTAAATATAATAAACCTTTTCCCTTCTTTATCCTTTACTAAAATATTTAACTATATTTCTAAACCTATATTTAATTTAATAATTCGTTAGTGTATATTATTAATT